TGTGTGTGTGTGTGTGTGTGTGTGTGTGTGTGTGTGTGTGTGTGTGTGTGTGTGTGTGTGTGTGTGTGTATTTTCATGTTTACTACACAACTTATCAAAGAAAAGCATGACTATGCTGGACTGTTTCACCAGGCTTTCACCTACTCATTTTGTGTGTGTGTGTCAGTGGGTGGGTTGGGTGGGGTGTTGTTGTGATGTAACTCGTGTGCGCTATACACAAGTCCACAGTAAAAAAAAAGCATGACTGTGTCAAACTGTTTCATTGCACTTGTGTCTGCGTATGTGCGGTCGTGTGTGCTGTCATGTTGGTTATCGACAACACAGAAAAAGAATGACTGTGCCAGGCTGTTTCCTCGGACTTTCACCTAGTACTGTGTGTGTGTCACAGTGTGTGTGCATTTGTGTTTGTGTCGGACTTTCACCTACTCTGTGTGTGTGTGTGTGTGGGTGTCTGGTGGCATGTGTACTTATGTGAGCTGTACAGAACTCAAATTAAAAAAAAAAAACATCAACGTGGCAAAGTTGTTCATCGAACTTTCATCCCGTCCTCAGGTCGTCAGTAAGTTGAACCGTTTTTTTTCGGGTTTTAAACATTCGTTCCATTACAAATAATAACTTGGGGCCGAGGACCTCACAATTGTACCCGGAGTTATCTTGGCAGCACTAGGGCAAGATCCCGCTGGCAAAGAGGATCACTGGAATAAGAGTCCGAATCTGGACGTGTTCCACACAGAGAGGCAGAAAGCAGATCAATCACAAAGTTTTGCACTTGTCCACAAACACTTCCAGATTCGGACACGTACTACAATCCTCTTTGCCAGTGGGATCTCTCCCTTAGCCTGTTTAGCTTACAGGCTTCTGCCTGCAGGGAGTGTTTCTGCTGACATCCCTGAGATTCTAGTTCAGTGTCACTGTGTCAGTCTGTCAGATGCTACTCTTCCGTGATGTTGCCTGTTCTGCTTTGGAAAGTGCTTCGTGAGGGAAGATCCAGCCTACTCTTCCGGTCTATGGAATTTCTCCCAACTTCTTTTGCTAGAACTACGCATACACTGCCCTTCACCCAGCTGGACTGAACTTCTGAAATAGGTAGAGACATCGTCGTGAGTTTCGGTCTCACTGCCTGCTATGCTATCCTCCAGCTGGGATCTAACACGGCCTAGCGTACCTGGGTCTTTGGCCCAGGTCCTGGAAGCTACTGACTCTCGCCTTCACAGTCCAGTGCGACCTTAAGACTGTCTACGAACAGCAGCGAATCTGTTTCGTTGGGCCCAGGTGCGCAGGAACCAGCGGAGCTGTCCTCTGCTGCATTTACCTGACCTCGCCTTCCTCCTCCAATCCACTCTCAGGAACCAGCGGAGCTGTCTTCTGCTGCCTTTACCTGACCTCGCCTTCAAGTTCCTCCTCCAATCCACTCTCATGGCTTCCTTAAGCCCCTGCTTGATAAGGTTCTTGATTTCCACATCGGACAATGGCCTTTTCTGGAATGTGGACCTGTTTCTGTCTTTCCAGATAATATCACAGACCAGTCCAAGAGTGACATGGGCGACATATCCCCAACCACTCCCCACGTGCAACCACTCCGGAAGGAAGCCTAGCAAAGCCCAGTGTTCGTCCCAATTCACTTTCTGGTCTCCAAAGCTCTCCCAGTGTTCCTGCCAGGCTGCCACCACTTCCAGATACGCTTGGAGGCTGGGCAGTCCCACCAGAGGTGACGCGTTGATTCGAAGGGCCATTGACACCTGGATTCCTGGAGGCTGGAACACTTCAGCTCAACCTCCATAGCAGCAACCATACAGGAGATGGCGTTACAAGTAGCGAGAGCATCCACAGTGTGCTCGCATGTTTACCGCCCAGAAGGAGTTTCAGTGATTCCCACAGCTTTAAGAACTCTGGGCCGCTGATGGATCTTCTGACATAATCACTTGCCATCTGCGAATGGCAGCTGCGGATGGGGGGGTTCTGTCTTTCAACCATAGCTTGTATCGCTTTGCTACTTTGTATTCTGACAGAAAAGTGACAGTCCGTTATTCTGCCCCAGCGTTCCAGCCCCAGGCCTGTGGGTCTATACTCAGCTGATTCAAAGGGACCCTTCCAATCCATGTGAAGACTCTTGGTGTTGACGCCTTCCCTTTGCTTTCTACCACCCGGATTTGAGGAGGGCCAGCCCATGTCATGATTAGCTCCTCATCTATCTGAGCTAGTCTATTGGTGCGGTTATCACATCTCCAGCGTTTCACTCTTCTGAAACCGCTGGGTGTGGTCTCCAGCAGTTTCCAAACAACATTGTGTTCGTCTTGGAGTTCTGAGACGTACCAAGTGCCCAAAGAGTCAAGTCCTTCCGGGCCCAAAATAGTGAGCCATTCCCGCAGTATAGATCCGATGATTAGCTGCCAGTGTTCTTCAATGTGCCTCAGGCCACCCAGTTGTGATCTGATATCTGAGAGTGGTCGCCAGCCTCCCAAGACTGTTGACCAGCGATCTTCCAATCCTATCACTCCTCTGCATACCCAGGCCGGCACCACGCACAGTGATGCCGACGATGCCTCAGTGGCACAGACTGCTCACTACAGTAATGTACACAACATTCCACCTACTTGCGAATCGCTACTGGACGATTCTCCCAGGGCGAAGGGCCATGTGTGCACCTCCGGCGACCATGTTCGGGACAGCACGTCAACACGAAGATGGATTTACGGCAATTGCTGGACGTCAATAAAACATGTGGCCTCTGCCCAAAACACGTGGTAAACGGGTAGACCTCGTCGTCATAACAGCGCACGACACTAAGACCTCTAGGCTCTCGCGGATGGCTTTCGCAATCTCTAGAGGGTGTTGCACATAATGAAGTTTGCTTGGTCGGCCTTCTCGTAGTGCTCCTTCTGCACATCCACCTCCCTCTCCAGAATGCTGCAGTGCCTTATCAAAACGGAGCATTGCCTCTTGCTCGCGTTGTCGACCGTCGTCGCCATCAACTTCCGGCGTGCTTGTCCATGATGTCGGCAATTGCCTCGAAGGTCTGTTGTCTCACATTGTTCCGTTTGCCGCTTCCGCCCTCGCTCCCCGCGCTGAAGGACGACTCCTTAGTCGATCCGTGCTCATCATCATGTCCATCCCCGCCTCCCTCGCTAGCCACAGATTCGTTTCGACGGGCACTGGGGGGGGGGGCATCTGAACCCTTCCAGGTGCGCCTGTGTCCACTAGATTCGCGGGGTGGATAGTGTGATCGCCCCTAGTCATCACCTTCATCTCCTCATACACTCGGCGACCCATTCGGAACTCGAAACCTTTCTCCTTCCTCTCCTACGGCGTCAGTGCGAAAAAATCCTCCTTGCCATATTCGCCCATGAACTTGTACACGGTCTTGAACTGCTGGAAAAGGTTGTCCCATTTTTTTGAGCAGTCCACAGCCTTCCTGCTCATCACCCCCATCTGCTTCAGCCTCTTCTCTACAACATTCCACTTCCAATTCTTCATCTTCATGCGTCCGTAGTTGTGGCCCAAGCCAGCGAGACGCAAATCCTGGTCTCTTTTCACTCGAACGAGAGCAATCTGAGCAATGATATGGTCGACGGTCCACAAATCCCTGCTTTCCGCCCTGTCGCCCGCAGCATTTGTCTTGTACAACCTTCTTGCCTTGTCGCCCTGCCTGCAGTTCCGCCTCCTTCTGTCCGCCCCAACATCCTCCTCTCTTCCTTCTCACTGGACGAATCTCCATATCATCTTCATCGTCTTCGCCGTCGCCGCGGTTGCCCTCTTCCGCCCTGCATTCTTCACCCCCCCCACCATCGCAATCCACAAAGATATCATCGCCTCCGACGTGCATGTTGACTACCCCTCTCGTTATGTCGGAAGTGCTCACTTGCCGCATTTTGTCGATGATCCCTCCAAACTTGTCGGCCTTTGAGCTCTGTAGCAGAGCAATCCTCGGTGTCCCCTCATCCATGGATTGGATCATTGTGTGTCGCCGATCGAGAGGCCCCCACGCCCACAGTCTTCGTCCTTGAAGCGCCGGCGTCTACCATTCTCCCGACACCACCCCTGAAAGATGAAACGAAATCGGAAATCACGCTCATCCGCCACCTCCAATGAATAGGCCCCAAGGATCTTGGAACGCCCCCCACCCTAACCGTGGACTTCACTAGGTTGACGAGCATGGTTTGTGTGACGGTTGGGCCACTATCGACAGTGAATCCCCCACGGAGGCAGTCGTGGGCGGCCAAGATCACGGTCGCGGCCGGGTCCGCGACCCCATGGCCATGGCCACACGACGGCTCAACTTCGCAGCCACGTGGCGGCCAAGGGGGGAAAGAGGGGGAAACGGGGGGGGGGGGGGGATTTCGGAGGTGGATTGGGGTTGCGCAACCCCAGTCCCACCCCCTCAAAGAAAAAAAAAGAAAAAAATAACCATTTCTTGGGGAGGGGGTTATGTGATGAATCATGATAATAAAACAAAACAAGAGGAGGGGAACCCAGAATCTTGCCATGTTGTAGCGGAAGATTCAATTCGATTTTGTTCACCGTATCGATGGAAGTAGCCTGTCTCTATCTCTCTGCGCTCATGGCTGGAAAGCAGTATATATTTCCATATTCTAGTGGAAGATTCATTCCGATTTTGCTCATCCTATCGATGGACGTAGCTTCTCTGTATCTCTCTGCGTGCA